GCGATTGTAAAACTTGAAACTCTTGGTGGTGATAGTGGTTGTGTGCCACTGAGTTAGTTCCAAATCATAGCAACCCTTAAACAGTTTCCAAGTGGCAAACTTTTATGGGAGCAGAAAGCCTCATTTTTTTCCCATGGAGCAACTGGTAGATTCAAGTTGTTACCCTTACGGTTAGCAGTCTAGCTTGTAATCCACTACACTACCAGGGCTCCTTTTGAAATTCTAGCATGGGTATAAAATGAATCATCTCAGAGCAGGATGGGGGAGGAGCTCACTATTCTCTAAGAAGAGCCAGAAATAAAGCATATCCTTTGGATCCCAAGAACCCTGTGCACTGAACCTGCTCAATCCGAGGACAGAAAGCTATGACAGAGAGGCAGAAGAGCCGAATCAAGAACCAGAACATGAGACAGAGCAGTGACTTCCCAGGCCACATGGCAAGTAAAGTTGAGTGACTTTGGGCAGGAAACTTACTTGTAGTGTGGGGTGCTGCCAGGCACTTCAGTGGGAGATCTGGGTTTGCTGACTGCCAGGGCTAGAGCCAAATGCCTTCAGTCTGTGGCTTATGGTGGAGAGGTGTATTCTCTGGGTATTTATCAGCAGTGGGCTGGACAATTGTGCCCTGAGCATTTTCTGATCCTATATTGGAACCTATTAACTTCCTAATAAACCCCATACCGGTGAGTATGTTGTCTGAGTTTTGTGTGGCCATTGCAATAGATTATTGAACGCAACTGAGGAGTAGAGAGGTTTGTGGGAGGAATGTTTAGTGTCACATTATTCTGTGCAGGTGTGTTCTCCCTGCCCCTGAAGTCTTCCGGCCTCGGTTCAGTGTGGCCTACCCAAACTAAAGGGCCCAAGTCCTCACTCCCTTTGCCACTATTCGTAGCACTTATTGTATTTCATGGATTCCTGGTGTGGTGCTGTAAGATCAACACTGGACTGCAAACCACCAGGTTGGCAGTTCAAACTCTCCAGCTGCTCTTTAACTCTATACAGAAGCACTATGACTCAATGGCACTTAACAACAAAATTTTTTATATTTCACTTATTTGCTTGTTCACATTTGTGTGTGAATGTGTATGTGTGTGTGTGTGTGTCTTTTCCTCTAAATTCCATGTATGTTTCATTAGGGAAGAACAGCAGCTGTTATGGATTGAATTGTGCCTCCCCCCTCCCAAATATATATTGTAAATTCTAACCTCTATACCAGAGTCCTGGGGTGGCGCTATAGGATAAGCATTGGACTGCTAACCTCAACGTTGGTGGTTCTAACCTACCAGCTGCTCCTCTGGAACCCTAGACAGGGTCACTATGAGTTGGAACCGACTTGATGGCATTTAACAACATACTCATGGATATAATTAGATTTGAGAATAGGGTTTTTTTTGTTGTTATATTAACAAGGACATATCAGTGTCTTAAACCTGACCACTTTTGAGAGAGGAGACTAGACTAGGCACAGAAGCAAGTATAAATTGGGGAAACAATCGGTGGCACTTGTATATCACCAAGGAACTGTGGCATGCCAAGCTAGAGAAGCTGAAACAAGGATTATCTTCCCAGAGTGGATAGTGAGAGAGACCCTTCCCTTGGAGCCAATGCCTTGAATTTAGACTTGTAGCCTCCTAAGCTGTAAGAAACATCTATTTGTGTTATTTCTGTTACGGCTGCACCAGATAACTTGGACAGTGTCTTTGTTACAGTTTATTCCTAGTACCTTCAGTAACATTTGACAATAAATGTTGTGTTTATGGAATGAATATTGATTGTAGTTCTTGTCCATTCCTTTCCTCTCTAGGGCTCTTGTTGTTGTTGTTATGTGCTGTTGAGTCGGTTCCGACCCATAGAGACCCCAAACAGGGTTTCTGAGGCTGTAAATCTTTACGGGAGCAGAAAGCCTCATCTTTCTCCCACGGAGCAGCTGGTAGTTTCGAACTACTGACCTTGCAGTTCGCAGCCTGATTCATAACCACTACGCTACCAGAGCTCCTTAGGACTCTTTAGTTACTCTAAAATGGGATCATCAAAATCCTATTCCAGTGCTCATTTCAGCAGCACATATACTAAAATTGCCCCAGTGCAAAGACACATGCACATTTGTGAAGCATTCCATATTTTCCAGTGTTGTATGGGTAGAGACTGATGGACAGACACACGGGCTGAATGGGTGTCAGAGAAAGAGTGGGAGTATACCCACAGGTATATAAGGGTTTGTCAGAGGACATCTGCACATGGGTATTTACTTTTGCTGCAAACGCACTTTTGAATGTGGCAGAGCATACAAGGGGACAAAATGATGAAAATTTAGACATTACCAAACACCCTGAAATGAGTTGTTGGGTCTGGGGGCTCAAGACCATAGTCCCTGGTCATCATGGTCAATTGGCATAACACAGTACACAAAGACAATGTTCTACATTCTGTTTTGGTGAGGAGGGATCTTAAAAGATCTTAAAAGCTCATAGGCGACTATCTAAGGTGCAGTTATTGGTCTCTCCATGTGCAGAATAAAGAAGAGTGATGAAAATTGAAGATGCTTGCAATCAATCAGTCCAGTGGAGTAATGTACTAATGGAACACTTCTGGTCTCATGCCTCTGAGACCAGAACTAGATGGTGCCTGGTTACCACTACCAACTGCTCAGAAAGGGATCACATTAGAAAGTCCCAGACAGAGTGGGAGAAAATGTAGAACAAAACTAAAAATAATAATAATAATAAAACACTGGGCTTATTGGTTAGAAAAAGACTGGAGGAACTTGAGACTATGACCCTTGGCTACCCTAGAATGGAACGCACCTTCGTGGCCCAATTTTTAACCAAGCAGTTGATAGGTATATAAGAGGGGACAAGAACCCTAGTAAGGTATGCTCACCATGAAATGGTCAACCATTCAAGATCAAAAGGGCAATATTTACCTAAGGACAAAGTTGAGAAGGGTTGGGAAGGTGGGTGGAATGGAAATAAGAACCACAGGGAGGAAGTGGGATAATTTATTACATGGAGGGGATTTTGCAATCATTGAGATGAAACAAACTATGATTTGCTGAATTTGAAACTGATGATTTGCTCTGTAAACCTTCGCTCACTTCACAGTAAAAAGTTAAAAACCAAAAAATATCTTCTAGCTCTCCATTCTCAGTCTTTTCTGATTGTTTCCCCAGAATTTTTACCACTTTCCCAGCTTCCTCTTTCTCTTCAGGGGTTCTTTGTTAATTTTGTTTTGTTTTTCACTTCTTCAATAAGTATTTATTGGGAACCTACTATATCCCAGGTACTATCTTTGACCCTGGGGAACAAAGTGACTGCTTACAGTTTGGTGGAAGGGACAACTGAATAATCACAACATATAATAATGAACTATGATAATACTAAGAAAGACAAAATAGGGGACCCAACCTACTGTGAAGGAGTGGAGGCACTGAGACACAAAGCTGAGCTTAGAAGGAAAGTTCAGAATTATCTATGAAAGTAGGAGTGAGTCTGGTGAGTGTGAGGGTACAATCTAGACATATGGAAGAGTCTGTACAAGGCCCTAAGGCAAGAAGGAACATAGGATACTGGAGGGGACATGGTGAAAGCTGAAGGGGCAGTTAGGGGATGGACCAGGTTTGGTCTTGAAGGTCACTGTAAAGATGTTGGTGATTCCTGTAAGGAATGTATGAGAATATATTGGAGAGGGCAAAAGTGAATGAGGGCATTCAAAAAGAAGCCTAGATCCAGAGGGCATGGAGGAAGGTAGACTCTCCACTGAGTAGTATCCAATCTATCTAGGTGGGGCTGATGAAAGGAGATGGAGATAAGACTTTTGTGATACAATAGTGAATAATTGCTATCAGGCCTGACTGTTAGGGTTGGAAATGTAAAGGTAGACGTTTTGTAGCAAAAGGAGGGGAGTGGTTGACTTTACAGTCCAGGAGTGGAAGTCCCTGGGACCATCAAGGGAGCAGAGTGGAGAGCGGGCCCCTACCCAGAGAAGCAGTGACGCCAGAGATGGAGACAGAGACGATGATGTGGAGAGATGGAGCAACTGGGGACTTTAGACCCAGAGAGGGAGAGGGGCTATGTGCTGACAACCAAGGGGGCAGGCTTGCAGGGTATACCTTTTGGTTGGTTGATGATGCTTAGAGGGGATTGTAACCATGGCAATGAAACGATATATGATAGGATGAATGTAAAGCTAATGTTCTCCCATCTAAACTATCACATAATTCATAATAAAACATTAAAAAAAAAAAAAAAAGTGAATGAGGGCAACCACCTTGGTCTTTTGACTTTAGTTACCAGACTGAACCACTCTTGCCCACCTCTCCCCAGGGTTCTTCCACTTCTTCCTTCTCCTCCTAGAGCCCCTTTAGCTTATTCTTCCTTTCTCTCCATCACAGATGTCCCATAGTCATGGGTATTGGATCTCACCTCTGTGGTCCTGTCTTTGTTTTTCTCCAGCCAGAGTGTCTACTCTTCTTCCCAGCAAGCCCCTTGATCTACCAGTGTCCCCCCACCTCCAGCTTCTCAGGTCTCTAGGCCTCCACTTGGTGCACCAGTCCCTGCCTCTGCCCAGACCCTTGGTTGGATAGCCAGGTGTGGAGTTTGTGATGTGTGAGTTTGTGAATTTCTGGCTTATCTTATTCTAGCCCCTTCCTGCCTCTTAGGATTATTGGGCAGGGAGGGAGCTGGGAGCCTCTGCATCCTGGACACAGATTCCACAGGTTCACTTCACAGAGGCGGTAGCATACTTTATTGCAGGGACTTTGCTTATTGAGAGAGTTGGGAATTGTTGGGGGAGGGGATGGTAGAAGGGAAGGAAAATAAACTCTGACAGTTGGGTAAGGGGGATAACAGGGAGTGTGGGGGAAAGGTGAACTATTAGGGGCAAGAAGTGGAGACTGGAGGCAAGGAAGGGGAAGTACAGAGACTGAGGCAGATGCTACTGACTGGACTGAGGACTGGGAGGGGCAGTCTTTTCCAGAAAGGAGGCAGGAGCTAAAGGCAAAGCTCTGGACTGGGGAAGTGGACAGTACCCTAGGTTTCCTGGGGGAGCTTGCTGCCCAGCACAACCCTCTTCACTTTTGGGCACCCAGTGCCAGGGCAATGATGAAGCCCACAACCAGCAGGAACATGGCAACCGACAGCAACACTGTGATGACCACCATACCCCCTGTTCGGGCCATTCCCAACCCAATGGATTCCATCTTCCTTCCTGTCAGAGAAAAGCGAGAGGGGCAATCTTGGTGGGCAGTGGGGGACCTATCCTACATAAGACTCTCAGCCTATCCCCGCATCCATCCAACCATGCATCCCTCCGTTCAGCCATATAGTCATCCAACCAACTAATCAACCAGTGGATCCAAACAAGCATAAAATAGACATTTATGAAGCATCCTCTACAAAATGATTGAGAATACAGAAATTAATAGGACACAATGCCTATCCACAAAGAACCTTAAATTTAGCAATGCAGGCAGATGAAGAAACAAGCAGTTACATGCCAAATTCTCAGTGGAAGAAAGGTAGGAACTGGAAAAGCACAAGTGGGGGTGGGGCAAGGTGTTGGGGTGAGTGGATAACCCAAATGTGTGTGTGTGTGTGTGTCGGTGGGGAAATGAGAGAGATGGGGGAAATTACTTACGAGGAAGTGTGGACATTGGGGTCTCTTTACTGGATTCAGTGGACATCCCCTTCTTCACTAGGTAGGAAATGCTTTTGTGGGGAGGTTTGCAGGAGACAGAGGAACAAATTTCAGTGAGTAACTAGGACTTGGAGGAAGGGGAACTTCATAGCTTGCCTTCCATATGTGCCCATCTCCAAGAGAGGACCATGCTTACCCTGTATCTGTGTCCTAATTCTCCCCATGCTGACCACATCCCCTCCAACACCAGCAAGTGCCAGTAGCCAGCTTCTCATCCTGCACGCCCCTCCCCAACAGGTGCCTTAGGCCCAGGTCAGGTACCTACTAGTATTTGGTTCCTGGAACGAGGTTTGTCACCTGGTATGCACTGAGCCGAGTGACCGTGAAGCCAGCCCCACTGTCCACCACACTCACCAACTCCCTGCGTCCACGGCATGGAGGCACAACAAAGCTGGATTTCACCACTGGGTGGGAGATTGCGGGTGGAAGATAGGGTCAAGTTTTGGGGGACCCCAAGACTGAGGGGAAGCCCAGAGAAAGGGGTTGACAGCAAAGCATGAATGACGGAAGGGAGCTGGGGGCATCCTGAGGAGGGGTTTCTGGGGGCAAAGGAGATGCCTTGGGAGAGGGAAGCATACCTTTACTGTCATTGGCTCTACGGACCATCAATGTGGCGTTGCCCCCTGTGAGATGGCAGGGGGGCAAGGCGACTAGCAGGCTCTCAGTTAGCGCGGGGGACAGCATACCAGAGAGGTTTGAGATGTTGAAGTCTGTCGGGAAGCCAGGAGAGGTAGAAGGGGATCATCAACAGTCCTCCTCACCATTCTCAGAACTGACCTGTTCCCAACTGGGGTCATTTCTAAGAATACAGAGTCCATCTTTGGCAAAGCAGCCAGGCCTATGCTGGTATGGCCACCAGGTGGCAGGCTTGGGCTACAGAAGCTGGATACTCGCAGGTCCCTTAACCAGACCCAGGAGTACCTGAAGCAGAACACCTTTCTGTTCTGCTTTCCCAACTTTCCTCATATCCCTGGGCCTAGAAGGGGACCAGGGTGTGCCAGGGGCCAATGTCTGATGCCTGGTCACTGCCACCACTATCCCCCAACCCCCACCCGTCAAACAGTTCTCCTTTGAACTCTCCTGAAAGGCACAGTACTTCCTGTCCAGGCGCCCTCCTCCACCCCTAGAGACCTGCAGCCGCTGGGGCTAGAACAGCCAGCAGAGTCAGGATAGAGGGCAGGGTCTGGAAGGGCAGCAGGGATGCCATGGCTGGTGATGGCTGGGCTGGGAGCTGGAATGGGCCCTGGCAGGCTGTGGTTCCTGAGGCAAGTGAGGCTGTGCTCCCCCGGGGTGACCGATTTTTGTCCTGGGGGTGGGAGGGGCTGGAGGGGAATCCTGTCCAACCTGTCCCTTGGGCCCAACAGCTTCAGAAGAGCCCCCAGACAGGTTTTTCAGGGTAGGGAGCTAGTCCTCCTCAGGAGAGAGGGAAATGCCCAGGTTGGATCCCAGATGAATCACTCAGCTGCAAAGGGGGAGGGTGACTATGGTTGTTCTTGTCAGGTGCCATCAAGTTGGAACTGACTCATAGCGACCCCATGCACAGCAGAACGAAACAATGTCTGATCCTGGGCCAACCCCACCACTGCTGCCACACTTGACGCCATCAATGATGCCATCTGGCTGATCCATCTCGTTGGGGGTCTTCCTCTTTTTCTCTGACCCTCCATTTCACCCAGCATGACATCCTTCTCCAGCGACTGTTCTCTCCTGACAATATGTCCAAAGTATGAGAGATGAAGCTTAGCCATCCTGGCCTCCAAGGAGC